TGGTACTCAAGGATATTTAGGATATGTGTCGTTTATAAGTACTGCATTCGTAGATAATTATTGAAGTAGAAAAAGAGTTAGAAGATCTTCAGCAATAAATAATTAGAAGAAGAAACGCACTGAAAAGAGAATAAGTAACACAGAAAGTTCGGAAGAACTACAACTTTTGACTCATATACCAAAAGTTATTTTCAACTTATCGTCAGTGCGCTTATTGTAGCACAAAAGAAATAGAGAAGAGAACGAACATAATTTATAACTTTTATTGCGTCGATCTTTGCGTAAAAAATTGTTTTTTGCTGTATAATCAAAACTACGTGTATTAGTAATGAAATAAATAAATGTTTCAGTAATTATAATAACAATTTTTTTTTACTAAAATGCAACAATAACAAAAATATTTTTATTTTCATGTGATCACGTGCTTTTTTAATTGTAATTTAACCACATGCTTCCTAATATGATCTAGTTAGTTTATACCAAGTTTCATCAAATTTTAGCTCAGTAAAAAAATTCAGGACTCAAAGGGTTAAAAGATACTTCTCCTGTGTATAGGAATTTCTTTGGTAAATAGAACTTTTAAAATAATAAAATAAAAAAATAATTTTACTAGTTTGAGAGAAAATAATTTAAAGTAAAAATTAAATTAAATTAATTTAAGGTAAAATTAAGATAAAAATAATAAAACTAATAAATTAAAAATTACATTAAAATTAAAATTATTTGTTGACTTTTTGATACAGACTTGATCTTCCTCAGAAATTGTTGCTACACACGCACACACTATTGATGTTCTTTTTTGTATAGCTATATACTCTTTTTTTTTTTTATTTCTTTTATTTTTCTTTTTTAATATTGGTAATATGGACACAATGTGGATGGAGGTAAGAATCCTGTCTTCGCTGGTATTCATCCCACCTACCTGGGAGAAAATAGTGCAATAGTGATTTGAGATATTTTACAGCATCGTAGTGAGTAACAAAATACCCACACTCGAAGGAAAATTCTTTTAAAATTGTGCTTTTTTGTCCATTTATTGGTTTTTTTCAAAGAGAAAAATGAATTTCTTTGTTTACTTATTGACGAAAGTTTTTGTCTTGAAAATGTAATTGGTGTTTCAATTTTAACCCTTTGGGAACGTTGATACAAAGATTGTAGCACCTATTTTTCAGTAAGGAAAATGTTTGTTCTTCATTAAGTTGTTATCACCTGTACGATAATTAGTCGTTCCAGCTGCTATTATATGCATACCTTTTCTTTCTTTCTTCCTGTCATATAGAAGGTTCTCAGATCTTCTCTTTTCTTTCTACTTCATATACTGACGCCATAATCACTGCCTCTCTTATCTTGATGCACTGTCATGAAGCTTTTATGTAATCATTTTGAGTCAAATACAATAAACTGACGAAAGAGACAATTTCCAGTTAAAAATTAATTTCGTCCTCCAAGAATAAATAATTTGACACGTGCTTTCAACATAACAACAAATATTATTTTCAGAATTAATCAACTCAAACTTTAGCTTTTATAGGTACAGCGACAGAACGCATGACTCATCCCATCGCAATAGGTTTTTTCCAACGTATCAACCAATAGAAAAAATGTCGTTTTACAAACCTATATATGCGTCATTATTATTTCAAACTTTGCTCTATTCAGTCACGGCAAAATAACTTTGTTTACAGAAGTAAGTTGATTTTCTTGTTTGATATATGTATCTTACTATTATATTATATTGATTGTCGATCCATGTTTTGTTTTGATGAGTCATGATATACAACACATTCTTCTTTTTGCGTACATAGTGACAGTATTAGATAAACAACCTTATTAGGAAGTGAAAGTAAAATACGAATTAAAAGAAACAGTAAACTTAGGATATTTTAAAAAAGGTTATTATACATTTTATTAAATAATTAAATGACCTTCATTTTAATAAATTTATTAATTATATTTAAACTATAGTTACAATTGAATATTTATTTAATATTTATTTATTTATTGTTTGAAAACGTTTTGAAGAATATCTTTCTCTATCGTCAGTTCAATAACTTTATATTAAGACTAAATATACATACCTACACGTATTTCTAATGCATATTTATCTATTCTCGTTTAATAGTTTCTTTTTTCTAATAGCAGAAGGGAATGACAAAACGATAATACTCAATGACTGAACCTACGTGTTTCATCTTTTGTTATACTTATAGAAAAAGAACAAAGAAAACAGAAAAATAGTTAGATACATATTCCACATAGGGATATATACATTTAATCTTAATAGAAACTGAATGAAGTGATAAAAGAGAACGAAATTCTTCAATAAAAATTCATATTATAAATAAGTAAATATTAATTTAACATTCAATAGTAATTATAATCAAATTATCGATTAATAAGACGAGAATTTGATGATAAACATAGAATTAAATTTATTTAGTAAATGTAGTTTCTCGAAATAAAGAATGTTTCATAATTTTCGACTCCATTTTTATTAATTGTCTATCTTTGCTGCATTCAATGATGGAGAAATATTGAATATATTTATTTCAAGAGTCAAACCTACGCTATAAATAAATAAAAAAACAAATCGGATTGAATTCTCATGAATATAACGAGATAACTACATCAGTAAAAATTTTAGCAAAACTATTTTTTATTTCTTATCTGTCAAGTGTAAAAAATAAATAGCAGCCCCTTACTCATTCACTTGCTGCAAGTCACTTCTATTGTTTTATTCTTATGATGCACTCAACAGGCGAGAGAAGACTTGTAGTGGCATGTATATTTCAAAGATGTGGCTCTCGTTGCGAAAGAAAATAATGTCCAAACTCACACACACATCCTACACCGTTGAAATATATACGACAGTAAGAATTTTTTCTTACCTGACGGGCATATAATAAGTACAGAACGATGGAAGTAACTCACAACGAGTGAAAAGATGACTAATATTTTTTTTGCGTTTGATAGGTAAAGAATAAAAAATGACTGCCTAAATTTTTATTGATATAGTTCTTTCCTATCATATATGTAAATTTAATCTAATTGTTTTTGATTCATACCGTAGATGTTACTATTGAAATCTATATATATATGTTCAATATCTCTGCACTATTGTATACAGCAAAGATGAAAAAAATAGTGGGATCGAAAATTATGAAATACCCATTATTTTTACAATTTTATCAGATGCAGAAAGAGTACTTTCAAGTAAATCGGCTTGTAAGTCCAACAAAACATGAATAACTGTATTGAACATATGATAGATTCAGAGAAAAAAAATAACAAAGAATTTGGAAATGACTAGATGGAATATTTCTCGAGATATACAACATAAAAAATAAACTAAGAAAGCCAAAGAAAAAAAATCCGTAAGTGATTAAATCATTAAACACATCTAATTTTAATAAATCAAATAGAATACTTTTAATTCTTAGATAATTTGTACAACGATTAAAAGAAAGGTTTTTCATCGATTAGAGATCGCAACAGAAATGTTTTCAATATTCAATTATCATTGTTATGAAAATGAAACAAATACACGAAAATTTGTTAGGATTCTATTTTTATTGTTGTGCCAATATAATTGTATATTTACACATGTTTCGAAAATGACTATGTGATTACAAACAGCTTTTCCAGTAGAAGTGTCATATTCCCATTATCGTTATCAGTAAGGGATAAGTGGTATTTTCACATAAGTTGTAAGTGGTTTAGATTTAACTGAAGGCGGCCATTATACATCACATCATTGATGATTTCATCAGAAATCTTTTCGTAGCTTTCTCTTGACTGATTATATTATCGAGTATGATTTTCTCAGTTGCTCAAGTAGCCTTAATAATTGTTAACATAAATAATTCGTCCCAAGTCAAGAAGTACGGGTTATTTCCGATCAGAAAACTCGGGAAAATAGTAGAAATTCAGTAATTGGGTCCAATTGCCGGCTCGGCCCGGTTACGACCGATTATGAGGAACTAGAAAAATCCGATCGTTGAATTCCTGCTTCGAAGTGCCTACCATATTCTCGAGTTTTTCGGTCACAAGCGGTTTCTTTCCGGTAAGAATCCACCATAGGTTCCAGAGAGTATATTGAATCTCATCCAAGTTTTAACGCTGCATGAGTCAGTATATTCCAGAATTTTTCTGAGAGCCTGGTTCTCATCGGCAGCACCGCTACAACTTACGGGTGGAAATTTTGCATTTACTGTTACTTCCACCTACACCTACCATAATAGCATTAGATAGTTTTTATGATTAAAAAGCTTTCTATTTAACATTGATAAATGGTCAGTTTAACCGTCGGTTAGTTGTTATCGCATGTTATTCCTTATCACTTACTTGGTAGGTGGTAGATACCGGAGGACAGTTATCGGGTAATAGGAAATTCCTGGATTTGACTATTTCGTCAAGGAAAGGCCATTTTACGAAAATAGCGATTGTATATGGAGTTTGATCAAAGGTCTTCGGAGTCAAGAAATCCGAATTTGAAATTGATTTCTCGAAATTGTGTGGTTTATTTCTCGGACAAATTACTTTTAATCTGCACACCTTTGATCAAATTTCATAGAAAATCGTTACTCATGGTAAGTGTGACACTTCAATTGAAGACTCACTCCCATACTGAGTCGTATTGGCTTTTTTTGGGCATTTTCTAGTGAGAAAAATTGAAAAATAGTTCGGAAGGAAGGAGCAATTGTCGTCAGCGTTCCTCTCAAAGTCCACTATTGACTCAGATAGTCTGTTATCTACATTTAGTCGGAAAAAGATAAAACAATCTTTATGTAAATATATCAATAAAAGATTATCTTATAGTACTTGAGTGAAATTCCGTTTTTTCGTATTTTAGAAAAGTTAAACTGTTGAATTTAGAAATTTTAAAACTTTGAGGAAAAATGGACAAAGAAAAGGCTAATAAATCGATCTCAATCTTCTGGTCAGACCAACAATTTGAAAGGTTTTTGTGCTGCCTATGCTACGCCCTACTCTTCCCGCCGATGCAACTGATTTGCTGCGGGGCGCGCATTTGTGCGGCTTGCGGAATATCAAAGTAATGTAATCTGCTTATTCATCTAACTAAATCTGATAAAAGTTTCTATTTGTAGACTTCAACAATTATCCCAATGTCCGTTCTGTGAGGAATCTGGAATACCTGAGGTAAAATAAAATCAGAACTTGTTTTATTTAATGTAATATTTTAAAATTGAATATTTAGGCCAGAGATGATAAAGGTTTCCGACGAGAACTTGAAGGTCTATCAATAAACTGTCCTAGATGCAATGATCAATCGTTTAGACTTTTCAAAGACTTGCCAGTAGAACTTTTTGTATGAATTATTTTTGTTTATCAAAAGTTATTTATATATTAGACGCATCTCAACGACAAACATTGTGATCTTGAGTGTGAAAGTTGCGACGAAAAATTTATTTTTCCGCAACAAATTACGAAGCATCAACAAGAAACTTGCAGAAAACGAATTGTCTGTTGTCCGCTGGATTTTGTAGGATGCTCGAAAGAGGTATTTATTATTCTACTACATTATTTGAAAGAATTTTCTATCTTATTAAATTTAATTTCATATTTAAGATTTCTTTATTTCAATACATTCAATTTATTTTTATTCTTATTTAGACTTTCTTTTATTTCTTTCTCTTAATTCATTGAAGATTGAAAAATACCTATTTATATATGATATATTTTATTTACATTTAGGTTAGATATGATGAAATGGTTCAACATTACTTAAATAATCAACATCAACGATGTCTTATGTTGTTTATTAAAAGAGTATTTCCGAAAAGTTTTCAAGGACAAGCGATGTCAATTTTACCACCATTTTTCGATGAACAGTATAATCATATGTTGACAGCTGCCTTAGAAAAAATCAATTCGATAGTTCAAAATGTAGAACCAATAATTCACAATTGCGCTCATCTTATGTCAGAGCGACAAAAACATGAAACAAATATTAATGAAATCCGTGCACAATCAATAAAAATCAAAGAATCGTCTGATAAAAATGCGAAACTTACAGAGAATTATCATCAAGACTTGGGGAACATGGATAAAAGTCTCGCTGACATTAAATTAAAGTCTATCGCAGGCCCGAAGCTATTGTCATTCGATAGTACATATATATGCAAATTCAATCTTCGTTCGTTGAATAGTAATGGACAAGTAGTACAATCTGAACCAATTCAGACATCACAAAGTGGATACAAACTAGCAATTAGTTGTGGTATATTTGTTGATGAACAGAATAAAAAACGTTATGTATCAATTTCATTCATAATTCTTCCTGGAGAATTTGATCCAATTTTATCATGGCCATTTCGATTTCCAGTCACAATCAGTATACTTAAGTTGAAAGGAACAAAAAAGAATATCAGTCAGTCAATTTCATGGGACTCTCAAACAGTGCCACTTGATCGACCTGGAAACAATGCAAGTGTTTCCGTTCAAATACCAAAGTTTTGTCTAGTTGACGAACTTTTCGATAATACCAACACTTATACACAAGATGAATTGATCTTTGTACAACTATATATCAATTTTATGGCATCATCTGCACATCCAACTACCAATAAAGAACAGTCAAGGATGATACACGATCCTATACAAACTAATATTTTATCAAACATGATGACCAATTGAAGACAACGTCTCATATCGTGAACTCTATAGAAGTTAAGATTTCGCTGTTTGTTTATTGTGAAATCTAGAAAACGTATATTTCGAAACCGACAGGTTCGGAAATGAAACAATAAAAATCAAGACAATTGAAATTTTGAAAAGTTAACATTGCGAAAGATAAAATATCTCGAAAACAATTATCGAAAGAAATTATTTTATGAAAAGAAAAACATCGAACAAAGGCACCGAATACGTTCTTATATAATATAACTATATATATAGTAATCACGCAAACGCGATCAATCATTTCAGCTTTCTAATTTCTCCGAAAACTACATATTTCTCGCGTAACTCTGGTCAGTATTGCTGGTATTCCTCCAGAAACGGGTCGAAAAAAATATGCAAGTTGTATTCCGGACTTAAAAGACATCACACCGAAACTCAGGTTTTTTTCAACATTCTCTCGAGAATAGAAATAAATCAAAACCTCATTGGATCTCGAAGAAAAAAGAATAGAAAGGCGCCAATAACAAACCGAAAACTTATCATGTCCGGTCAAAGATTCATCGAAAAAAAATCTATCAATTTCAGAGTCATTATTAAGACTACCAGAAATATTGAGAAACTAATCAAATTCACTCAACACCCATCATCTACTTCAGACAGTTAAGGAATTGGTATTTTATCATTTAAACTGCGACGTATTGTCCAAAAAAAAACCGTTTATCATACCTAAACGCCGTATCGAAGCCGATTAATAGCAGGGGAAAATCACCTCGATAAACTTCAAAAACGTTATTGGGTGTATTTCAGCACCAAATATATAAAGTGATGTTTTTTGACGTTTATCGAGATGGTTCCCCTGCTATTATCGGCTTCGATACGACGTTTAGGCATGATAAACAGTCTTTTTGGACAATACATCGTAGTTTTAATGACAAAGTGATGGCTTCTTAACACTCTGCAACAAGCAGTTCTTGACGATGAGCACAAGAGCGGGTGATGGATGCAGTAACATGTGAGCAAGAACAACAAAGTGAGACTTCAATACTCCAAAGTACGATGAAGTACCGTACTTTGGAGTGTTAAAGTCTTGCTTTTTCCTCATTTGGATGTGAGTGAAACATATAGCTGCAGGTAGGTTTGGATGAGGTAGATGAGTAGAAGATAATGAATGTGTGAGGCTCTTCTCAGTGCTCACCCATAAAAATTTTACGAAATCATATTTCTGACTTCGTTATTTAAGTGTATATTTAAAGCATTGTCATCTTACGATCAGACATGTTTTTGAATTTTGAAAATTGAATATGTTCAATATCGCTCACGTATACATATGAAACGCAAAACAAATGCATTAAGTCTTACATTTGAACTTGGTCTGTATGCTTACTTTTCTTGAATTTCGAACACGTTTATATCCAGCAAAAATATTTACATAGATATGCCAGTCAATGATGCGTACTAGAACAAACTATCTTAACAGTAGTGGGATCATTAGATACTAACACTACGCATGTATGTGATTGACAGAAGTTTTCTTAAACCCATGTAAACATTATGCGATCTTTAACTCTTTCGATTTCATAGTAGCAAAAACTGCTACACATGTTTTATAATTAGTTTTGCATAGCATAATTCATAAAAATTGATAGACAATCTGTTAGAATGAAGCAATGGCGAATCAATCAATTAATGGATTGATGTACTTATATGCCACTGTCTGTAAGAAGATTCTAAACTTTTCTAGAATATTTCTTTAACTTTGCATTCAAATGTAATGAAATTCACATAAAACCTTATATTAAGTATAAATTACGTGCACGCACACGAAGCATTTGTGTCATGCGTATTTCTGTATCTACAATAACTTAATATGATGACCTACTTCAACGTAATACAACAGATTTCATTTGGGCTTCAAAGAGTATGATTGCATTTAATTAATTTCTTTTATGCGCTTTCAGAATTGGTTATGAATAAAATCGCGTTTGGATGCATTTATCGGATATACCACTGATTACGTTTCAACAGTTTCAAATAAAAATGTGTTCAGATATATTTATCAAAATTCTTGGACATTGCAGTCAGTCGCGATTTTGATTTGAAACGTGTCCAAACGCTATTTAGAAGACAACACGTATCTGCACGTATTAGGAGGCCAACAATTCAAAGAAATATTTGAAACCACATGTAGGAGTAGCCTAACTGAAGACTCATATCCATATCGTTTTTTTTATACGAAAAATCTTTTTTTATGTCAAAACCATTATTTTTAACAAGGACATGTCTCAAAGTCATAGTGATAATAAAAGTGCACATTGGAGTTTCTACCTATATCTTTTCTGAACAAGTGACTTTTTGATGATGCTAGATTTTTTCAAAGGCCTTCATCATGCTTTTAGATATTTTTCACTTCTCTTTCCTTCTAATTGTGAGAGATACACATAGTTTATAGTTGTTGCAATCTTACACTTATCTCTCCAACTTTAGATTATGCAACACTTGAACAGCTCCACAATTATCAACAAACAATTTTCGGTTCCATTTTTCTCGGCACTGCCGAGTTTCACACATATTTCAAAGCTTTTCATTAACATTATTTGAATGCATATTACAATGAGACGGTATTTGAAAGCGTCTGTTATGCGTTCAGTGTTTGTATGCGAAAAAAAAAATGAAAAAAATGAGATGACATGGATTATTTATTATTCATCAATATAAAAATAACTTGTAGAAAGAGAAACAATCTCAGTTAAATAAAAACGAGATGAATCGCTTGAGGAAAAAGATAGTATCAAAAATATTGAATATCACCATATGCGAATGTTCGATACAAATTATCACTTATAAAATTCCAAGGAATGATTCTCGAAATTATAATTGATAGATAATTATTAAATTTATTTTTTTCTTTAGTTTATTTAATATATAAATAAATTAAATCGATGGGGAAAAAGTTTCATAATCAATTATCTATTGAAATTCGACAGTATTATCTCAAAAAAGAAATAGTTATTATATGAAAATATTTTGTTTTATTAGCACTCAGAATTGATAAGCTAATTGTTCTTGATATCTCTCACTCAATAAAATATCATTAAAATATCTGTCAAGTAAGTATTTCGTTTGTTTTTTTTCTTTCTTCTATAATAGAGTATGTTAATTCTTTCAGCATCGAAGATCTACGATCTTCATTCGATAATAAATATAACAAAGAAAATAATGAATCTAATGATTGCCATCCGTTACATAACGATGTCATATTAGATGTCTATAATTGTGATTTAACAATGATTGTTAAACATGATTGTCTTCGTGGTAAATCGATGATTGACAATGGATTATGTTCGTTATGGTCAGGTGTACGAGTAACATATGGAATCAATCAACGACGTGGAGCTTTTCAAATAAAAGTATTTACTTCAATCATAACTCAAGTAAACTGATTCGGTTTTTTTTGTTTTTTAGATTCTTCATCATTTACATTCTTCTGATTTATTACATAATGGAATTACATATGGGATTCGAGTTGATTGGTTAACCAATGAGAGTAAACTGTCTTTCGGTATTACTTTCCTATCAACTTAGTTTTTAATGTAGACTTCGTTTTTTCGCTGATTGGAAACTTAGTACAATACTTGGTACTTTTTACTTAACAGTTGTACTTTGTATTTGTACTTAAGTCTGATTCTACTTAGTACCGGTACTAAATACAATCTTCTTTACTTATGGTTCAAAGTGTTTCCTATCTATTTAAGATATTTTAAAAATTTCAAAATAGCTTTAAGGTAATAAAACAATTGAAAATATAGAATTTTTTCAAGATAACAACGAATATAGAAATTCTATGGATTAAGTATTTGTGTTACATTTAATCTTATATGAGATAATGTTTTGTTGTTACAAAATTGTATTCCTCATTTATCTCTTTATAATATAGTTCTGTAGAAATTTTTCTTACACGATCGAATCACGAACAATAGAAGAAACTTTAACAGAGAATTAAAATTTTTATTAGTTTGAAAAAAAATCGTTAGTTGAAAAACACTAATGTTCTACAAGAAGAAATCGAAGAGTTTGAAGTTAACTCTCGAATATGTCAATGATGTGATCTGATCCACCAAGTGTCCATCTATTTGTGTAGGGCCGTTTGATTGGTCTAGTGACCGCGTGGTGGAGAAGAAGGATTGAACGACATACTACGCCTTGATTTCTTTTCTTTGACCATAATTTGACTCATTAGTGGACATCTTCATCGATTTATATCACACAGAAATTTCGACTGATCTCTATTGACTGCAGGTTCAGAACAATTTGTTCCGAAAACTTCGAATGTTTTCATTTCTTCAAAATTATCAATTTTGTAGACCTGATATTTCAAAGAAATAGCGATGAAAAAAAAATATTCTTTTCACCAATCGACAGCCTATGACGTTCACTACAAAAAATGTGCCTTATCATTTCCAAATCCCATACTTCCTTCATTTTCTGCAATGTTTCTAAAAATGTCAATTCCGGTCACCAATAGGGGATAAACGGGCCAACAGACAACCAACAAAAAATATCTGACAAAAATAGATGGTACATATAAGAAGCATGAAATAATTAATTTATAACAAATTTTTATGACAATATCAGTCCGAGTGTGGCTAATGAAAAGTTTAGCGGCGAAACCAGAACACTAGTGCCCTTCTTGTTTTGGGTGGGCAGTAGTAGATGGCACCGTCACTATGTATTCAGGATGTAAATTACTAGAAGAGTAGTTAACGATGAAACTAATATCCTAACTCCTCTCTTATTTTGGGAAAGATAATGGAAATTGTGCAGCTACTTTATTAGTACCATGTTTTCTTGATAACACGACCTATCATTGTTCAGCGACAATAAGAGAGACGCTCGTAGTCTGGCTCTGCCACTAATGATAATAATGACATCCATAAGTACATTATACTACTAAATAGAAGCAGAGATAAGTAGAATAATTAAGTAAAAAAGTAATTTCACTTGTATTGATCCATTGACTGATTAATTGATTGTTATTAGGTGATGAATCATTATCTTATGGATATGAAGAAACAGGTAAAATCTTGAGAAGAAATGAATTTGAATAGTATGGTGAAGGATATTTAGTTGATGATATAATAACATGTTATGCAGTAAATCATTTTAAATAAATTTGTTGTTTTTTTGTCTTTTAAATAATATTTTTGTTTTTGTTTTTGTTTATAAAAGAATTTTGAAAGTGAATGTGGCAATATTTTATTATCTTTTGCTAAAAATGATTTAAATATTGAGTTAGAATATCGTATAAATTATGAAGATATTCATTCAGGTCGATTATTTTCTCATATATTCATTAAAAATCTTTCATTTCAAATTAATTTTGGTCAATTAAATACAGTTTGAAATTATTTCATATTGATTTTGAAAATAAAGAAAAAAAACTCTATTTTAGAAATATTTTCTTCAATCAAATTTTCGTTTAATAAATGATTATGATGAAGATGAGAGAATTCGAGGTAGATTAGATCCATCAAGTAAACAAGAATGTGAAGTAAATAGTTTAGTCATCTTTCATTTATTTATTTATTTCATATATAGGTTATTATGATGGTAGGTTTACCAGGAGCTAGAAAATGATATTGGATTGAACAACATTGTAGAATAAATAGAGATAAAAAATATATTATACTCAGTACAAATAATATTATTTATAAAATGAAAGTTAATATAAAATAATTGAGAAAAAATTAAAAATTAATATTTATTTCTATAGAATAATAATTGTGATTGTTATTATAAAATAATTGATCGAGCAACAAAATGTCTTAAAATAATGTTTGATTTAGCTTCATCTCAAAAACGAAATTTTATAATTGATCAAGTTTGATTTTATTTAATAGAATTTGGTTTTTTTTGTTATGTGAAATATTAGACAAATGTTTATGGAAATAATCGTCGTCGTAAAATGTCTTTATTTTATGGATTCTATCGATGAGCTCTTGTTGTTATTCCGAAGGATAATCAATATAAACGACGAAGATATAAATAACTTATTTATCAACAAAAATTTATTAATAATTTCAAATTAAAAAAAAATAACCATTGTCGAATATATGACAACAATTATAAATGAAATCGAGAAGTCTCAAACGAAAAAGACATTTTCAGTTTTAAATGTAGAAATAAATAATAAATTCTCGCTTTTGTCATCGATTATTAGTGAAAACAACTATAATCGACAAGAAAAATATTTTTATTTACAAATGATGTATTAGGATAACAATATTGAAGGACATGCGTGAATTCCACATTTCAGTTCCAAAGAAACTGCTCTAACAAGCTTTTTCTTCCAGTGATCGTTTCACTTTTTTTTATTTATTCATTTAATGAAATTCTTATCAGAAGATTTTGTTGTTTTCTTTTTTACAAAGAAAGATAAGAACTATAATCCTGATTTTCTATCTAAAATGACATTTAAATTTATAATTATCATTAGATAAATAATTTCTTGCATTTACTTCGAAAGAGTATTTTAAAAAATAAAGAACTTTTAAATTTCTAAGATATCAAGAAGCAATGACTCGTGCTTTCTATAGCAGATTTGAAAATGACGGATAAACTTTGAATATGAATATTGGTCAATGAATTCTATCAGCTGAAATAATAACAAAATATTGAGAATTTGTTTCCCGAGTCAAGCGTACTATCTATTATTTGGGCAAATCTTTTAGAGATCTGTTTGAAACAAAATATATTTAGGTAGTACCAGTCTCTATATTATTTTCTTGTTAATGGTGTTGCAATTAAATGACGCTTCTATAACGAACATTCACTTTTTATTATCTGACTTGTTTATTTCACCACCTGAAGATCTGGAACCGTATTAAGTCATATATCTTTTTGTTTGGATGATTATAATCATCATCTATCATCAAATATTCGTTACTTAAATTTGTTCTCAGTCAGAACATTTTTTTCATCGCAAATATGTTGAATACACTATTTATAGTGTTTTCTAAGATGTTGATATACATAGCTGTTAACGGATAATTGCGTTTCAACTAATCGATAATAATAATCTTTTTTATTTTCTATTAAACGACAACTATTTCTATATAGATGAACGAACTAGAAAAAAACGTAAGATAGTTGGAAAAAAAACAACGATGAGGTGAAAAACATCAATACTATCTCAAAATAATAGAAGACGAAAAAAAGAAAGAAACAGAAAAATACCACATATAACTGATTTAATCTATAACAATAGGTTTTTACGATTGATCGATTATTATTAATTTAGGTTTCTCTCTGGAACTTGTATATATAATCAGTCTTATTCACAAGTTATTTTTCTATCTGAAATTATCTCAAATATAAAGAGATTTGGTACGATAAAACATTGACAATAAATTTTATTTTATCGATTTTATATTGAAATTCGCCGTTTCGATCATCTAAGTGATGATTTTCAAGGAGTAACTGACCAACTAACTGAATAATAATTATTGAAATTGGTCACTTAGATGATTGAAACGTCGAATTTTCACATAAAATCGATAAAATAAGATTTATTACCATTATTGTGAAATTTTATTGTACTATTATATTGTCTTTCACAATTGATTGAAAATAAAGAGATTTATTATAATAAGAATTTCCAACATAAACTATTTTGATGATAACATCAACTAGTATTTGGTATGATTGTCATCTATGCTCACAAAGAATCTATTTTATGAAAAATATGTCATTCAACATTTGTTTGAAATTATTTTTTACATAAACTGTCAGCGAGTTGATCGATTTTTTAATTAAAGATAATTTAAAATTAGTTTAATGAAGATTTGGAAAAATATCAATTTATGTAAGCAATTATGAGTGCTAATCTAAATACTTGTTGTCGTAAAATTCAAATAACTTTTAGGAAAAGATTTATATTATTCTAGTCCAGGAAGAAGATATTGGACGATGTAGAAGCCATATGATGTGGGAGTGAAGGCGATTGCAGCTAAAGGTTTCATCTTCAGCTACACCGACATCCTCGAGGAAAAAAAACAAAAATATGCATCTCGTTTTCTCTCTTTCTTCATTCTATACTTTTACTTATTCATTATGAAAAATATCATCAAACAGAAAAGAATTCCTATATTTCATTCAATAATATTATAACGGAACACAGATAACAATCTTATATTAGGAGATGTCTCTCCTAACATAATAGAATACATCAGTTTCTATAGGACATATTAATATGAGTAACATTTTTCATTTGCGTATTTGAATAACTAAATGCAACACATTAGAATCATCGCTTAAAAATAGTTTTCTTTTGTTCTTTTCTTTCTAAGATGTTTAAAGTAACAACTGTTTTGATCATTAGCAGCACATTACAGTATATAAAGAATCTGATTAGAAGACATTTAGAGAAAAAAACGATGAAGATTGAAAGAATGATGCTCGTGCTTATTACTGTCTCTCTAGTCGCCTTGTTGGACTTGAGTGATGCACAGTGTTTTCTTACGAAAAGTGTCACTCGTACTAGTCGTATGTAGAAGTTAAGAACAGTTTTATCAAACAATAGTATAAATCTTTTTAAATCTTTACTATAGCCTATGGTACAAAGGAAACATATTGCGAATACAAGAAATTCCAGTTTGCGGCTGGATGTACTTTTCAATTGGCCTCTCCAGAATGTATCAAGTGTAACTGCACAAGTACGATGATGAACTGTTGCATGTAAGAGCTCTTTATTTGTTTTATATATATTTCGATCGAATATGTTTCATAGGTATGGTCAATCGGCTAGCAATGTGCATGCAGAAGGTTGCAATGTAATAAATGACTTTTGTGGCATTGTCCTAGTCGATCCAAAGGATCCGAAGAAACTATGTACACCTTCTGAATCCATAACCATTTTGTAGACAACCGTCTGCCATATCCACATCTACATGTCATATCCCTAAACTATTTGATAATTGATTAATTACGATTAAATAAAATAAGAACAAATAAATGATCGTTGAAAATTATTCGATATAATATATTTGTCAAAAATCATTCTTTGATTCCCTTCAAACTCTATTCAATGTAAGACACTATAATAAGTGATTCTCAAATCTATTCAATTCATTCCATCCAGAGACGTGCACCGCTCGTGCACGGGCGGGGACAGACGCCCCACATGGGCCTTTTTTTCTGCTTAGGCGGCCGCGCGTTCACAATTTGATCAAATTAACAGTTATAATTTCTTGCAGTTGAAACTGAAAAGTCGAGTTAATTTTGATCTAATGCGACAAGATTCCTATATTTTTCTATTATATCAAAAATGATAAACAGTCGGACATCGACTTACTACATATTCTGAAAAACGAAGTAAAATACTTTTTTCTAATTCTGTTATTAATTGTTTTTAATTATCAAGAAATTAAGATGTAATTAATTAATCTAGAAAATAACAATGATAAATACTTTTCTCTATATATTATAGCTGAGATTGAAGATATAATGGGCATTGTAAGCGGCAGGAACAATGAATAAATGAATATGAGAGCAATTTTTTAATGAATATATTCGCATATGAAGTGGAGACTAAAAAGTAAAATATACTACAATGGTGGTACGTAAATATACCAATAAAGAATCCTAAAGAAACTCAAAGTTACAGTCAAGAATTTATGTAGCGTGTGTAACGAAAAGACTACGTAGACATTGTTTTGTTGATTATCTCTTTTTAATCTAAACACAATATAAAATCATTTAAGGTGAAGAAAAACAAATCAATGAATACAAAGTCAAATAAAAATATTAAAATAAAAGAATAAATAAACAAATAGAATCGTAAGTATATGTTTTCCTCTACAATGACTTCATTTAACAGATACACATATAGTTATTTAATATATTTAATTTTTTCGTTCGTCTTCCTGAATTTACCAATTGTAGTATCATTCGTTTGTCGTCAATATATTGGTAAAAACTTGTTTTAAACTAAATATGAAATTTGTTGAAACTGACACTTTGTATTTAAGAAAAAAAGTAAACATACTTACACCGTTGATAGTGTGCTTAAGGGGTCCCATTTCCGGGCCCAAAATTTTCAAATTTTTCATTTTTTGTTTTTTCTGCTCTAGATGTGCTTTCAAGTGCCCTCTATCTACTGATGACGTTTTGAGAACTCAAATATAGCTCTAAAGCAAAGATAAAATCGAAAAGATAAATCGATGGACGTAGAAGTATAGCACGATTTTTTCTTTCTTTCGCAATTTTCTAGAAATCTGGTTTTTCAGCAAAAATCCACAGAATCGCCCTCGTTTCTCAGGTACAGTAAATCCGATCCGACTGAAATTTCTTTTACAGATAGTAGAGACACTTTAGGGGGGGGGGTTACTTTTTTTGTTTTGAAAAATATTGTATCGCTGAGTTTTGACAGGTCTTACATGGCAAGCACTATTCAAAAAACATGCGTTTTTTAGGGCGCTCTCGGAATTTTGGCTTGTTTATTCGAACGGTACGAGATAGAAAGAAACCAAAAAAAATAGCTCCCCTAAAGTGTCTCTACTATCTGTAAAAAAAAATTTCAGCCCAATCGGATTTACTGTGCCTGAGAAACTGGGACGATTTTTAGCCATTGTGACTCCAATATCTCCTAGAAAGAAGCATTTGCGAATTTTGAATCTATGACAACTTTTACTCTACATATCGAGATCTATCAGCTGTGAAAATTTCAATTTTTTCTGACTAGCTGTTACCGAGAAATTTCGGAAAAGGGGAGGGATCCCCTTAAGGATTACCAGTAAAAACAATCTTGCAATACAAGAACAAGATCACTCAAACCGTCTAAATCAATGATAATAAAGTTTTCAATGTTTTACTGTATTTTATAATAAAACTTAATTCAACTAGAATGCTGAAGTTATGTTATAAAGAATTTCTTTTTCAACTTCAAAAATATTCAGCAGTATTAACGAAGGTTATGTTTCTTATATATTTGAAATACTTGAAAAACAGATGGATCATCATCATGTTTTCTTGTTTTTTCAAGATATATATAAATCGGACTCAAGTATTGTGTACATTTCGTACACGATATTTTTTAAAAGATGATCCAAATTCAAATTGAACATGTCTTAAACAGATGTTTTTTGCTCTCGGAAAATGAATTAGACTGATAGCTGCATGGTGTATTTTTTCTTGTTATTAGCTATCTTTTCTTTAGTAGCTCTATAGATTTTTTTTTCAATTTAGAAGTTTATTGTCTGTAATAAAAAGAATTTGTTTCATTCAATCAAAATATGAAATAAGCCGTGAATACAGTTATTTGTTCATTCTTTATTTTCTTTTTTTTTATATAAAGCATATGTGGATTTCTTTTTCATCTACTTGAATAGTTTATATCAAAATAAGATAACAATGATCGATATTTCATACGAGGAAAATACATTTGAAAATGTTCGGGGATTGTAGAGATTCTATCATAAAAATTTATATTATTTATTTTAGAACAATTCATTCGTGTTGTTTCTCTTGTGAAATTGTCTGTTACTAATCGTAGAGACTTATATTCGACAGAAAGTTTTAAATTTTTTGATAAATTTGTTTTAGTAAGATCAAGAAATTGTTCAATATAATCATTGTGAACAAGGAAAAGATCTAATTCAGTAAGATGAGAATATTTAATAATCGGATATTCTTTTTTCTTCGTATCTTTTGAAGATTGAGAATGTTTGTGTTGTTGTGATTGTGTATTCGTTAAACGTAGTTTCTTAAGATATGGAAATGCTTCAGCAATTTGAATAAAAAATTCATGTTCGAAAGGATGTTCATCACATAATGATATTTGACGAACACTTTTAAATAGTCCACCTGGAAAATTATTGGTTATATTATTATAAAATAATATTGTATATGGCAGAGAATAAATATGACATTGACCAACTTTTTCCCGTCGAGAATAATCGACAGAACAAACAATTTGATTATCTTTGAAATTTATGAATGTATTTCTAATATCTGCATTTGAAGGTAAATAAATTTCATTTAAAAAAAATGTTCTTGAATGAATATTAAATGCAAATTTTTTTAATCGTGGTAAATGATTAATAATATTTTCTTTCAAATCATTTCCATCAATAAATCTTTCGTCCATAAAATGATTGCTTACCATTAAATACAAAGCAAGACTTTCTAAATTTGACATTCGATGCAAAAGTGGCACAATTAATTCATAATACTTCAATGTTGCATCTTTACAAGTCAGCGAAAAATATTTCATATTAGATAATTTTTCCTAAAACATTAACAAATTTAAAATGAATGTAAACATCTTTAAAGACTATTAATTTTATTTTTATAGAATAAATATACCTGATCATTGATCGTTGACGATTGATTATAGATAAAATCAATATTAACAAAAAATTTTTCAAGTTAATTGAAGCAACCATCGAGTATATAAAGACAATCATGAAAATATTTTACAGTAATATGTAATTCTTTTAGAATTGAAGATGAACAACTTTGACTAAATTGCCAATTAAACATCGGTTCGAAGTTCATGTTCAAAGATGTATCAAAACTTAAATGATGTAGATTAGTGAAAGTAATTAAAATATTTCTGAATATATTTCCTTTTGTATTCTTCATTAATATTGGTGTTTTATTCTTACCAAATTTGATAACAAGTGTCGAAATTTTATGTTTAAATATACGAGCAAGGAAAGACTCGTCTAAATATAAATAAAAAATTCATTCATTTTAATAACTTAGTGTAGATCTTAGAGAATATCGTCACTTAACAAATTCGCAGTTTTCAACTAATCGATAACCGGAAAACAAAATCAGCTAGCGCAGCTTTTGGGGTTTAATAAGTGAAAAACTCTGTGGTTATTGTTGCTGATCAAATGATAATCGCTTTGTTTGATCTCTTTTATGACATATTTCTTTCTCAATCTTTTAATCAATCATTTAGACGACAAAAAGGATGAAACTTATAATCAAATCTTACTAATATACGGTCTTTAGTCGTATATTAACTGTATTTGTCACATTCTATTGATATTTTTATCCTATTTAGTTCAACAATCCTTTCAGATGGTGTTTCATGAAAATCTTATATATTATAAAAAGTAACAAAAGTTAGTCTTTATTGCAATTCTAATTGATTACTATTGTAAAATAATTACAACAGCTGATGTCTTATATTCTTTCTATGTATTCATTCGATAATACACAACTTATCTATTACTGATTATTTCATTTTCTAAGATTATCTTTCTATTAGTATCCTGCGGGAAAGACTTTTCTCGATTTACATTGAAAAAAGGAAATTTAAGCCCGATCATAGAATCTTTTCAAAATTTCAATAACGGTCTCATTTCTCTTTTTCAAAATACTACCAACTATCAACGTCTCACTTTGTACAACGTAAGATTACATCGTATAAAAAACAGAATTATAATTGAAAGTATAATTTAGTACAAAAAATCAATTATTATTTATACATCGAAACTTATCAACGTCAAATTAAGAAAATAATCTTCCTTATCAACACATATAGAATAAAAAAAAAGCAATTCTAGAAAGGGAACTGCATCTCATTCTAGTTACACTTTTACATAGACCTATAAACTCTTCTAATTAAGAATAAGAACTCAGAATTTTCGAAGAGAATGAGCCTCACTACTCTGATTCCACCGGTGCTCATCAATCAAGACTACTAAACATCAACAACAACCAGAAAAATAAGAACATTCAAAGAAAAAACTAATCAGAATCACATTATTTACGTGACAATCTATATAATAGGCTTTTCCAAAATGATAAAATCTTTTCATTAATTGAATAAAGATCTTGTAAGGAATGAATCAACCTTTGAAGGTTTTGATGATAGATAATTACCAATTTGTGTGTCACAGAATAAGTG